ATATATATATATATATATATATATATATATATATATATATATATATATATATATATATATATATATATATATATATATATATATATATATATATATATATATATATATATATATATATATATATATATATATATATATATATATATATATATATATATATATATATATATATATATATATATATATATATATATATATATCCTAAACTTAAAACAAGGGTAAATATATCTATGAAAAAATTAAACAGTGATCATATTTATATACATAGGAAACATAAACAAATATATATTTTACGTACTATGTAATCCTGACATATGCATAAATATATAATAATCACAAACAAAAATATATATAGTATAAACTGAACATGTATATAAGAAACACAAACGATATATAAGAAACACAAACGATAAAGTGACAATATAAAATAACAATCAAAACTATACGTAAGAAAACCAAACAAGAAGAAACAATATAATGATACACATAACATACCGTTGGATTTGGGCTCTATTCCTATGTGGAGAAAGACCCAAATATGATTAGCTCATTTGTCTCACTTATTTAAGTGGAGATGATCAATTTAGTATTAAGAGAGAGAAAAAATAATGGTTCAAAAGAGAGAAAAATGGAGAGAAACTCATTCCCGTTTTTTTGCAACCAGTCTCACTAAATCAACGATCTCCGATTCGTTAACCGTTGGATCGAGCTCAAATTTGGTGGACAGGTTTGTAACATATATATCTAACTTTTGATCATTCAGAATTTCAAAAAAAAAATGTCTGAGATGAAAGTTATTTGCTTCACACTGAAGCTATATATTTGGGGGAAAATTTCAGCTTTTGATTCTTATTTGTAAACTAGTTTACTTTGTGATTTACGTTGTTAGCACGCGTTTGTGAATCACTTTAAGACTCTCTTATACCCTTAATTGATTATAATGGAGTTATTTCTTTGGTTTGGACGACTCGTAGTTTTTACTCTCATATTGAGGGGTTTTTCACGTTAAAAATATCAGTGTTCTTTTGTGCCTTTATTTGTTCAATTTTCCGTCTTATATTTGTTTTTGATCCTCAAGATTCCTACAAGTTTTTGGGAGTTTTATATTCGCTGCGTATTGGTCTATTATTGTGTCTTAATTTCCCATCACGTACATGAAGAATGAAGAACAACAGCAAATCCAAAAATTAATATACTGATGCTCTTATATTTCAGTTCTCTTTTTGCTCTCATATGCTGCTAGTGTTGGTCCCTTTCTCCTCCTTGAGTGTTGGTTTCTTGTCCTCTTTTATAGACATTTTGAATCTTGACATTGAGATGCTGATTTGGAAGGAATTCGAATTTGTCTGGAACAAGTTTAAAACATGTTTTGTGATTTTGAAAATTTTCTTATTTCAATCAAACATGTCTGGATTATGTTTAAGACTTGTTTTGTAATAAATCTTGAATTGGTCTTGAGATTTTTTTTTGGGGTTTTTTATTTATTTAATTTATAAAATAAAGATTTAAAAATAAAAAATTAATTTTTAAAATACTCCTAAATAAAAAACGAAAATAATAATTAAATAATGGAAAAATGATCTTTTTACCATATTTTAATGAAAACCCACAAAAAGGAAAATAAATACAAAAAGTAATGGAATGAAACTTGAAGCCGCGACCTTATGATTAAACCTCTTAGACATACCTTCTTACCAACTGTGATATCTCATTTATTTAAAATAAAAGTCACTCGAAAGCATATGAAGGGTGGACGAAATTAGGGTATGACAGAGACTAATGTTGAATATTGTATTGCATTGTTGGTTATGGTTATAAGTGGAACCATATTTATTGTCATTGTATTATTGTATGTCATGCGTCATATTGTGTCAATGTGTTGAAATAGGCGAGACATGGGTTCAAAAGTGGGGGCTTGTGATCATCCTGGGTTCAGAAGTAAGGACCCAGGGTTTAAAAGTGGGGACTCGGTTCAAATGAGGAACCATTTTGAATGGACGAGATTAATAACAAACCTCTGATGTCCAAATTGGTACCACATGCATAGAGTCGAGTCGTGAGTCATATTCCATACATAAAGGCTATGTAAATTGAATTGTTATGTTGTTGTGTAGTTGAATGCATGTTGTTGATTGTGTGATTTAAACTACCCTTACATTCTTTTACACCGTTAATATATTTGAGCGTATTTTCACCCCTTTCTTACTTGTTTTGTGTTGCTCTGTACATTATTGTACAGATACTCAAGAGGAGTAAGTGCTGATGTGAGTTGGAAGATGACCTTGGAGCTTTTCTTCATTTATTTTATCGTTTATCTTTATTTAGTTGATTTAATGCTCTGATCTGTAACATCGAAAACTGGGTGTTATATTTGCTTTTGATTTAATAGTTGTATGATGTTCCTTTAATTCAATATTTCAATTTGATGATATAATTGAAGTTTACACGATTTAATTGAGTTCCACTGCAAGTTTTGAAATTATTTATAAAATATGCATGTTGTGTTTGAGTAACATCCTAAATTATGGATTTTTATCCTTTTAATTGTGAGTTAGGGTTTAAGGTGTTACATCTTTAACCAAACATCTCAATCAATGCAAATCGACCATTTGGACCTAGCACATAACCAATTCCACGCCAATTATTTAGATAACAACATGATTTATTAGGCCCCTTTACAACCTCATTTTAAAATAACATTGTTCCTTACTAGGTAAATCGTCCAAGTATTTGAAAGCCAAAATAAAATCCTCGATTTCTTCTTGATCCTTCATTTCATCTACACTTCAAAAGCCAACATGTGATCCTCTAACAAATCACAGGGGAATAACATACTCAATCCTAGTCAAACCTGAATACCCTGCCAAACATTTGCAACAACATGACATAAAAGGAAAAGATGAATGATTGATTTCTCAGGCCTCAAGCAAAGGGGACACACAAGATTGTGTTGTCCTGTCAACACGCCACACTATGCAAGCTCATCCATTGTTGGAGACTATTAAGAAGTAATCTTCAAATGAAAACTTCATTATTGTTAGGGACATTAGCAGTTTATAACAACTTAAAGACACTAACCTTGTCTTTTTTCAAATGAGAGTCAACAAGTTCAATGCCCACCAATCTAGCATATGCCGAATTAATAGATAACCTTATCATATCGCCACCAAACAAATGAGTCTGCTGATTTCGGATTAGGACTCACACATAAAAATGTTATCAAGCTCTTCCTAAGTGATACCTGCAATAACAATACTCGAGCCTTCAATGAAACCAAAACTTCAGATCCACATTCCATTTATCCAAGATCCTGTTGCACCAAACTTGAGCTTAGTAACCTGGGAAATTTTGAAGAGGTTTGGAAACAATAGCTTCAGAGGAACTACCTCACACTACCTATCACTCCAAAATTATATGTCTGAACAACTCTCGGATTTACAAGATAAATTGTTTTCAGACCAACTAGAATCTTTCCTCTATTTTCCAATGGAAAGCCTAAGATTACGTCACCAAATTGAGTATTTTATGCAATTTACATTTTATGGATGATTGAGAATTATAGCTTTAATGTCTCCATATTTAAATTCTAACAAAGAGTACCACACTGAACTGGAATCTAAAAGAATTCTCCAAGTCCATTTACTTAGCAGCGTTGCATTGAATAAATCACAATTTGTCATTTCTAGACCCCCTTACCCTAATTCGGTTTACATATAGAAGACTAAGATACCCAATTGATATTTCTTTATTCTTCTCTCCACTTCAGAGGAACATATATTAAAATCTAATAATATCTTAAATATCTCGTTTTGAAACTTTATAGAAGAAAAAGAAGAAGAGATATATTGAATTCAAGACATTATTTTTTTTCAACTAAAATATATATGTTATAAATATTAAACCTAAAAGATGAGATGATGCATTTGACCAAAATAGTCCTATTTACTACATAAATCTCTAGTTGAGATTTTCCTAGTTTCTCACTTTATTCTCTTTTTGTTCAAAAAAAAATGTATGTGTTATAAATATTACACCTAAAAGATGAGATGATGCATTTGACCAAAATAGTCCTACATACTACATAAACCTCAAGTTGAGATTTGCCTAGTTTCTCACTTATCCTATGTTGGACCACATCAAATAGCTTCTTATAATCTGTCAAAGTCATGCATGTGTTCATATTCATTCTCACCTTTTAGATAACATATAGTTAGGTTTCTTTATGCATAAAATTTAATATCCAAACAAATCACTTGAGTTCTCTACCTATCACACAAACCAATGTTGGTCTAGTAACTTAACTTCAACAATGCCCTTGTTATGCAACAATGTCTTTAATTTGCTTAACTAAAAGCCCGGATGAATCACCTCAAGTAGGAGACATGAACATTTTTTGTAATAGTGTATCATTAAAGGACTATGTTGTAAACATTTACTTTTATAAATGACCAATTTAATTCCTAAAAAAAAAAAAGTAAAAGCCTACTATTTTATAAATATTAAACTTAAAATATAAGATGATCCATTTGACCAATGTAGCCCTATATACTATATGAACCTCTAGTTGAGTGTTTCCTAGTTTCTCACATATTCTATGTTGGACCCCATCAAATAGCTTCATAGAATACATACCAAACCCTCATACATGTGTTCATATTCATTCACCTTTTAAAAAACAAATACTAGTTAGGTTTCTTTATGCACAAAATTTAAAACTCAAACAAAATCACTTGAGTTCTTTACCTATCACACCAACCAATATTACTATTCAAAATATAAAATGTTGTAATATCTTCAAAACTTTCATCATCATTAAAATAGAAAAATATTCCATTCAAACTCAACTACATAATTGACCAAACTCATCACACATTATCCATCACACAACATTTTAGTACATAATTATTCTCAAATTAGTAAACATAACACACACAAACATAAACTAAACCTAATTAATATTTTTCCACCAAACACATAAAACACTAACATCACATTATAACCTATGCTTTATTCATTGATCTGTAACAGTGCATTGGAACTGGAAAATCATCAATCTCATCCCTCCATGGATTTTTCAATGATGTTGGATCACAATTCTTCAAAGCAAGCCAAACAGCTGTGTTAACCTTAAATCCAGATCCAAATGCCATTTGCCATATTTTATGTCCCTTTTTAACTCTCCCTTTAGCTTCACAATAAGACAATTCATACCAAATAGAACTTGATGAAGTGTTACCATATCTATAAAGTGTCATCCTTGATGGCTCCATAAGAAAATCATCAAGCTCAAGACTCTTTTGCATTCGGTCGAGAACCGCTCTTCCGCCCGTATGGATGCAAAATTGATCAAACGCTAACTTGAAGTTAGGCATGTACGCTTCGATCTTCCTCTTCAAAACCTTTCTCTCGATTAAATTTTTTACATATTTCAACTTTTCCGAAATCGGGAGGACTAATGGACCGAGCGACGTAATGTGCACGCGAAGCGCGTCTCTAGCAACATTCATGAGGTCTTTTGACAATGAAACGCCTACAATGTCTTTTTCGTCTTCTTCTTGAAAGACACATTTGTAACTATTATCGTCCGCGCCTACGTGAGTGCGCAACGAATGCATCAACTGGTATTTTGAGCGGTGGCGATCGGACGGGTGACTCGAGAGTAGGGCTGCCGATCCGCCCATTCGGAAGAGACAATTAGTAAGCAGCATTGAAGGATTGTTGCCTTTGTATATGCTTGAGATTTCATTTTCTGTACTTAGCACTAATGCATATGAATTTGGGTGTGCCTGAAATTTCATGTCACAATAATAAAACTTACTAAGTTAGGAACAAATTACACATGTATCTAGGTTAAGGAAAATTGATGCACTAAAAATCATAACCTACTTATGGATTATTACTAGTAAAAAATATTCAATGACAAAAAAATGTTGTGTCCGTATCACAGTCAAATATTTAAATCGACACTTGTGATTACATTTAAGTTATTTATTTGTTCAAATTATTATCACTATCGCCGTATCAGTTTTGTATTTGAGATTTTTATACTTTATAAATAAATTATAAAATTTCTTATATAACATAAAATTACATTATTTAGGATTAAAGTTTTTTAAATAGATAAAACATTAAAAACTATTATAAACTCACTTACACAAAATCGTGAATATCTGTATTAAGATTCAAACCCTGATAATAACATGTCATCTAACGATAACAATTTTTGTTTTTGAACTAAAATTTGCAGACTACTCAATATTTTATTATAAATATTATATATATATATATATATATATATATATATATATATATATATATATATATATATATATATAGAGAGAGAGAGAGAGAGATTGTGGATTATATACATGTTGGTTAATTAATGTGCAGCATGGAAACCAAACTGTTGTGGGGAAGAGCAGTTTTATTTGACAAAAATGTAGAAGAGCAGTGCGGTGATATATACTACAATTATTAGGTTGATATACTGTAACATGTTGTTATTATTATTTATATGAAAGTGTCAGAATATTTATTTCAATAATGCACCACTGTTTCACAGAGCAACTGTACGAAGATATTTTGAATTTGTGAATGAATAGTCCTTATCTTTTGGAAGTTACAACAACATTGGTAAAATAAAATGCTGTTTTCAATCAAACTATATGCTCTTATCTTGGAAGCATATGATTTATTTTAATTTATTAAATACAATGAAAGTAAGAAATGAGTATTAATTTTAATTTAGTAGGTTGATAACAATATGGGAAGCCATGTTTGCTATCACTTCTCCCTCCAGCTTAATTATCTATGTCTAGGACTTTTAAAAATAGTTTAAAGGTGGATTTTTGATACATTAATAAAAAAATGAATTTTATAATGATTAATAATGAAGAATTAATATAATATTCTGTTAAATTTAATTAAAATAATAGTTTTTTTTTCAATATTTATAGAAAATGTAATAGTTGTATTAATAACTATGCATCTTTTGAACTTTTTTGTTACATTTAGTAAAATAATATTTTCCATTTTATTACATTAAATTTTAAATGTAGTTTATAAACGAGATATTTATATTTTAAAATTTAAATAACCTTGTTTTTCATATATAATTTTAAATAATAATAATAATTTGACTAAATACTTAATTTAGTCTCTGTGCTAACTTTATTTTTCTCTACTAATATCCAATACATATTTCTTAATTTATACTTAAAATTAGAAAAAATATTAAAATAATAATTTTTATAAAAATATTCACGTTTTATATTGCAAAGAGTAATAACTGTTATTAAATAATAAATATTAAATATATTATTATATATAAAACAAGAAATAATTAGAAAAAAATCTATTCATAAATAATTTTAAAGTACAACTATAAAAAAACTAAATAGAGAAAAATAATTCTTTTCGATAAGATCTTTGTTTGTACGGAATCAAGGATTCTTTATTGTGTTAGGTAGCTAATTTATATTATAAACGTTTTTTCAATTTTTTAAATGATGTTTTCAGAAATTCGAAAAGACGTCTATTTTAATATATACCATTTAAAAGAAAAAAATCATTCTTAAAAATAAAAATTTCTTAAATTATAGTATCTTGATATTCAACAATAGTGACTAACCAAAAAAACTTTATTAAGATAAAATATAAAGTTTATTCAAAAATTAATTATTGTAAAAAATTTACCTGAAGTAGCTGTTTGGCAAAATCCACTGCAATAACACCAGCACTGCATCCCATACCACTAAGATTATAGATCAAAATATTTCCTCTAAGTTTATAATGATTAACAATAGCATCAGAAAGTGAAGGTGTTGGATTAAACAAGCAACAATTCACCACAAGTATCCCAATATCCTTAGCCTCCACACATGTTTTCTCAAGCAACTCATCCACAGCTCCAAAGAGAACCAAATTTGACTCATGTCTCGCTTCATCTAGAGTCAATTTTGGTGGAATTTGCAACAACCCTTCAGGAACGTAAGTCTTTGGTCCAACACCTGACCTATCTAATATCTTATTAATCAAAATGAAATTTTCCTCGGAAAGAAAACCAAATAGTTTTGCTCTTTCCATCAACATTTCCTTGGTGCAAAGACAGTTTTTGCCTGGTTTGTAACATGAGAAATCTACTAGGTATATTTTGTTTGGTCTACTCATGAAGATGTAGTAAACTAAAGATGTTGCTAAACAAAATGATTTTATCAAAGTTGATGCTTGAGGATTGCAATATTCATCACTTATGTAAAAACAACTTACGCATGATGTTGATATTACTACTAAAAGTGACAAGAACAAAATGTTCATGATGTTTGATATCACGTAGAAATGCTTCAACATTTTGTTACTTTTTTTGTGAGTGTGGAAAAGATGGATTATGGATAGATAATAGATAGAGATATATTGTGTGTGTGAGAGAATAGATGTATAGTTGATGTGATTTATATAGAGAGAAATGAATGAAGGTTTTTGGAAAATATAAAATAAAAAAATAAAATAATAATGAGGATATAGAGAATAGTGGTTTTGGAGGTTGAGGATATAGAAAAGAAATAGGGTTAGTTTAAGAACTGTTTAGGTTAGTAAAGAAAGTTGGTAAAGAAAGTTAAAAGACGGATTGAGATAGTTAGAAGTCATAAATATTAGTAAATGTTTTTGTCGGGTACGTACTTTGTTTTAGGTTTACGGTGGGTGAAGAAAATAATACTGTCTTTACTCTCCCAAATTTTAGGAACAATTCACTTTTTATGAATAAAATAATTCAATTTGGAAAAGATAGTTAGTTAAGGATGGATTACTTTCTTAAGTTCTAACAATCTAATATGAAGTTTTTAACATTAATATAGAAAATTAGTTGGGAAAATTTAAAATGGTACTAGAAACAAAATTGATTGGTCTTTTTAGAATGTGTTGATGAATAGTACATTTAAGATTGAAGGCTTATGAGTTACAAATGATAACTTATTAGAGGAAGATGTTGTACCTGCAATAACTTTGAAGATTAAGTATGTAAGACTCGAGAATACTAGGTTTTAAGGTTAGAAAATAGTGCTCCTAAACCTAAACTGTGAGTTAGGCTTTATAAGAGTGGGATTAGAGGTTTAAAACCTCATAATCTTAACTATCTTAACTGGATAACTATGACTTGATCTTCATTATATAGACATGATTTAATAATTAGCATTATTTATGTTTTTCTCTAAGACGTGTCTATGACATGATCTTCTCTTAAGCTAGTCGTGTAAGAATTACCCATCCAAAATTGTTTCTCCTTTCAAAATTGTTTCCCCTTAATATGTTAGTTGAGGGAGATGAATGATGACGTGGTCTAAGACCTTTTCTTCATGTTAATGCCCATATGAAAACATTTTCCTCAAATCCTAGTGGTGTAATCAGATGCCTAGGTCATTTATTAGATTCTTGGCATATATTAAATAATGGTCCAAATGGTTTATTGAGTCGTAGGTATTAGTGAGGTATGGTTGCAAGTTTATTGAATTGGATCTGATTTACCGTTCTAGGACTCATGTATGTCTGTTGACAGGGTCGCCCTAATTTTTTTACAAATGACATGCATGCTAGTTGTCCTATTGTAGCATTTAGAACATCTTAAGTTTGAATATTGTGTTAGGATTTCATCGTCATAGTTGTCTTAGTGACCTCGAAACTTGGAATGAGCCATGGTGTTCTTGACTCGAAATTGTTAGAACAAGATTTATTCATGACATATATGGATTTTGATGATAACAAAGTATTGAAAGAACAATGGTGTTATCTAATTTGTGTTCTATGTGTGCAAGTTCTAAAACTTAAAGAAGAATACATTCAAAATCTGATATAAGGACACACTTGAGAGAAGTTAAGTTATTGGCTTATGGTGGCTCAGAATCTAAAGAACATTCTTTAAGTAAAGAATAATGATATAGGTTTGCGTAGACTCTGAAGTTGAAGGCCCTAACATCTGAAGAGAAATATATTGTCTCTAAGCTTATTGAACATATCAACTTCTGGTTATCATTCAAAACCAACGATAAAGCTAAAGTTATCCATACTGCAGCAACCAAGCTACATTGTCAACTCTGCTGTCAGCTAGAGTCTGTGTTCACATGGCTCAAGAATAGTTGACATGGTTTACAGATATCTACTCTCAACGGATCTATAGTACAATATCACAAGAAAGACGAAATGGTTAAGCAAGTTACACAATAGATCAAGATCTTTTGGTGTATCTATCTTCACATTTCTTGTACTATGGAGTAACAAAGACACTTGTACAAGTTATATCTTCTAAAGATTATTCCTCTGAAAATGCTATACAAGTAACTGAAGATTCAACATGGATTTTCAACAAGGAACAAGGAGAAAAAAGAAGAAGAGTCAAGAAGGATAGAAGCATTCCTCACGTCTATCATAATAGAAGAATAACAAGATCAACAATAACAACACAATCGAGTATGCAAAATTTCTGTAATATGTTGTAAATTGTACAAATCCTTAAGATTTCGTAAATATTGAATATCTTAGAAATCTTAAGTGATGTGATCTTTGTTATGTTGTACCTCTGATTATGTATCAAGTACACCTTGTTCTCTATTATGCTAAACATGGTTTTTAGTAGTTTAGATAAAGTCACTTGTTATGTGCATGAACATCAAAGTCTATTGTTGTGAAGCTTAAGCCAAGTAAGACTCCTGCTATCTGCTAGAGCATTGAAGTCTTAATCAATTGTTAATTGAGCAGAAAAGTCTTGGACTGCAGGTCTAAGCAGAAGTCTTGGATTCGTGGAATCGAAGAATGGAAGTCTTGTACTTGAAGGGTATGAGAAGAAGTCTTCAATCCGTGGGATTTGAGTAGAAGTCTTGGATTCGTGGAATCTGAGTAGGGAATTCTTGGACCAAGGGTTTGAGCAGTAAAGTCTTGTGCTGAGGGCATAAGCAATTGTAATCATAATTTGATTATAGTGGAAAATATCTTGTGCAGCAAGGGGACTGAATTACTCTCAGTTTGGGAGGAACGAGTATAAATCTATGTGTATTCTGCTGTTTTTTAATTGCTTCTGTTATTATTTCATTGCAATTAATTATCAAAATCTGAACAATGGTTTAAAATCTGAACTCTATTTAGAAGCAAACTAAAGAAAACGAATAACACAATTCAACTCCCCTTTCTTGTGTATTTTTCTCACCTTCAGTTGACATCAGAGCATAGTTTGTGCATAACACTTAACAATGGTACAGATAAATATCCAATGAGAAAAATATGTTTGTTAAATAATTTCCTTCAAGAAGGAATCAATTTGAAAAATATCACTTTGTTAATCCTCTCATATTCAGGGGTGACTCCACTAAATTGAAATGATGGAAGAGCAAGATATTTTTAAATCATTGGTCTTGATAAAGGATTTTGATGAAGGTATGTAAAATACCCTTGAGAAAGGTATTACTATTGAAATTGATGATGTCGGGATGATCAAGAATTGAGAATCTCTCACACCAGCTCAAAAGAAGCTTTATGAAAATCTTCTTGGAGTTAGATGCATTCTAGTAGGTGCTCTATATCATTCTGAGTATATCAACATCATTGATATGCCTAATGCTCAATACTATATTTGAATCCTTATGTTCAAATTTTAAGGGAATAAGGTAGAAGCTTATCGAGTTACACTTCATCTAATTTTTTCAAGCAAATTCTGAAAAGTCTTCTTGCTAGTGTTAAATCAAAAAGTCACATCTATTTAAGAAGTCAAAAACTTAAGTAGACTGAGTCTTGAAGGTTTAAATAACATTCTTCAAAGTAAAGAAATGGAATTAGATGAAGAAAACCTTTCAAAGAGGTCACCCTTTCCTCAACCCTGTTGAAGAAAATTCTAATGGAATATCTGATGATGAGGAATTAACCTTCCTTATCAAAAGATTCTATCAGCTGGCTAAATGGAATGTGATATATATTGATGGAAGAGTAACTTTAGAAGCTTCTGAAATATTCATATTTCAACTGATTATCCCAATCTTAAGAACATGGATAAAAAAACTACCAGACAGAAAAACCCCAAAATAAAAATGTCAGAGATCTTCAAAGAATATTCTAATGAAGTTGGCATAGTTGAGGATTCAGAATCTTCAACTATGAAGGGAAAACGACATTGACTAATCTGGCATTGATGGACATTACGTCTTCTGAAAAAACAATCTGAATTCAGGAATAAATTAATTATTGAAGGGAAAAAGGCATTGACTAATCCATCTTGCTTCAATATTGATAATAAGGAGTCTGCATCTCAAGATAATATCTTAAGTGACTCCATTTCTCCTGTGGAAATTGAAGGCTATCATAGAATATTTGTTAAAGGACAATTATGTGGGAAACCTTTCATTTCCTTTTCTATTTTCTGGCAATACTAAGACAATGCTGAAACATTATCTCATGCTAACCTCTGATAGCAAACACTATATGGTTCTATGCTGGTCAAAAATTCCAAAATCAAGGATTATGAAGCCAATAGATTTAATCCAAGACAATGAAATCAAAGACTCTGCTAAGAACAAGATTTTGTTAAATGCCATAATTCATCCTAGAATCTGTTCTATAATGAATCTTGGTACTCCTATCAGACTAAGGCGTGATGTAAGACAAAGTATGTCAAGACCAACATTTGTGAACCCACAGAAATATGGGTACCAACATTCAAAATTGTATTTGTTGCAGATATCATAGAAGAAAGGAGCAAGGCATCTTCCATGATACTTGATCAAAGGTTGTTTACAATATTTGATGGAAGAAATTCCTACATTCCAAACTGAATAGCTTAAGGATGCAAATGTATGGAGTTTGGAGAAGAAAGTGGAGTCATTGGTTTGACTGCCAGAATCCACTCGAGACAGAATTCAGATTCTACGGTCAAATTTGAATACTCATCTGAAGCCTGACCAAGAAAAAGAAAAAAAAAAGGTATGTTATGTTCCTTCACTTTTGCAAACTTCGTGACTCAATGAACTATTTAAGTATGAGTGAATACAAAGTCTCTTATTAGATCTCTAGAGAAGTTATGTTTGTTAATAAAAAAAGAATTTCAAAAATCTTTGAAAAATAAACTATGTTGTATTTGACTGTAGTGAATATATCATTAAATAGAAGATGATCATTTTTATGTGAATAATATTCTCACCGTTTATGATAATACTACTTCTAGTTAGAGGTCAAGGAAACCAATTCAATATTTATTAATCAAGCATGAATCTAGTTTTATGGGAAAATGTTTGACTCTAAATAGAATATCAAAGACTCATAATTAAACAGAAGATGTCTCACTCGAAGTCTAAATCTACTAGACTCTGATGACA